CAAAAGAAGAAGAAGGGGATGGCAGAGAAGGAGGTGGCTGGATGGAGTCACCGAAGCAGTCGGCCTGAACTTCAATGGACTCCAGAGGACGGTAGAGGGCAGGAAGGCCTGGAGGAACGTTGTCCATGGGTCGGACACGACTTCGCAACTAACAACAAGAAGAAAAAGACTGCACAAACTGATCATACATAAGGCCACAACAATGTTTCATAACATGGAATGTTTCTAAATATGGATTGGTAGCAAACGAACAGGACCAAAGCAACCCACATTTGAAATTATTCACTTTAATTAACAGCGGTTTTGTTATTTTAAGGTACAGGAATAAGCACTTCTCTTCCAGGACCCATGCAATCCTTTCTCACTGTGCAGAACAAGACACTGCAGCGACCAGTTGTAGAAGGAAAGTCAGGCACAAAACGGAAGAATTCTCGCTGCACAATGCTCTCCTATTTCATGTCTCAGAATTCAAAAGTAAAAGCTCTTTTCCATGTTCTCACAACCATCATTTCATAATTCTTGGACCTAATTCTGTCAGCCTGTAGTACAAAACGGCAGTCAGAATCTGACTAATACAGGGCAGCAATGAAACCAATGACACAAACTCTCTTTAGTAAATAAAATAATGACCCACAACTTGTTCGTACAATTATATTGCAAATAAGAGTTTCTTCTCGTCCGGTCCGTAGCTCCACTCCAAGTTCAAAGTAGCTGAATTTAAACTCTGCAAAGTTACAAGTGCAAATCAACACCTCCGAAGCGATTCCGGGTATTTGCCCTTCAGCTCCTGCTTGAATTGTCGGAAAAGGATCTTGTTGCGTTGGTTCTCCGCGTCCTTTTGCGCGTGGAACTCTCCCGCCACTTTGAATCCCTTGTGAACCAAAAAGGCATTGCTCAGCACTGCAAACCGGTAGCCGGCAATGTGGAGTTCGCAGGCCTGCCAGGACAAGAGAAGAAAAGAAAAGGTTAATGAACATGTGTGTCAACAGCATCATGAGAGTCACCTTGTGTGGGAGATGATGGGCGGCATAAAAACAGATGGAGACAAATGATTGATACAGATAGATAGATAGATAGATAGATAGATAGATAGATAGATAGATAGATAGATAGATAGATAGATAGATAGNCTCACTCCGTTACGTGGCGCTGGGGATTTGAACCGCCGACCTTTCTGATCGACAAGCTCAGCGTCTTAGCCCCTGAGCCACGAGGCTAAGAAGACAGCCTTTCTAAAGCTTACGCCTGGGCTGTGTTCCCATTGCGGTACCCCAGACATGCATGGAGCCACAACTCCCATCATCCCCGACCGTGCTGATGGGAATCGTAGTCGCATGTATTTGGAAAGGATCAGGCCATCCCAGGCTTTTTGGCTTCTTCATGAGTCTTCAGGCCTCACTGATCATCATTTGCTCCCTTTAAAAAATAATTCACTTGTAGGACAACATTTTGCAAATGGTTTTGTTCCAATGGGCATTTTAAAATAGCTTGGTTTACTGCTGCAGGTTTTAAGCTATCCCGCTGTCCTGCTTGACCACTTGTTTTAAAATGAAATTTACCATTGTTTGGGAACTGCCAAGAAAACCCAGGTAGAAAACCACAAGATGCTATAAAGGTTTATGAATAAAACATCAATATTGCACCCCCATCCTTCCCCCCCATAATGCAATGGACTAGACCACGTTCCCCTATTAATATAATGGGGGAAGGGATTACCAATTCCTTGAGGGGGGGGAGGAGAGAAAATAAAAAGGGAAAGTCAGAAATACGTCGAGGAACTTCCTCCCACTACGATACGCCTTCAACGGGGAACGCAACCAGGAGAAGCCAATCCTACGTATATGCGCATGTACGTTCATACAAAAGCACAGACAGGCGAATGTGTACCCGCCCCCCAACCCGGTTAGTGGTCTAATCCACAGTCGCCCCGCCGCTCGCCCAAACGCATAAGATGGGAATGGGCGGGACCAATGAACACCCAGAAAAAGGGGGGTGCTGGGAAAAGCGTCTGGACCCCTTTCATTACCTGGTGGGAGGAGCCGCGCAAAGCGTAGACGCCGCTCGGGCTCCCTTCCGCAATCGGAAGTGGCCCTCCGTCGGCCCCGCCCACGGCTCTTTAACCAATCCGAGCGGCGGATAATGCCGGCCGTTGTAGGCGGGCTTACATGTCTATGATCCCGGAACCTTCCAGCCAACCTTCTCTGTGGTTTCCCCCCCCCATTCTTTTGGCTACACCGCATTGTGGGAAGCCGGAAGCGGAAAGAGGCGTTCCCATAGCAACGGAAAAAATAGAACCCCCCTGGAGGGGAAAGAGGAAAAATAAATAGTAAAATGGGGAAAACACTGAAAAACTAAACAAAAAGTGTTTTTCCCCCTTCCCAAACCTTAAAATAGGAGCCTTTTTCGAAAAGGATGAACTCCCAAATATCAATGTAATATTGCAATAGCTACAGAGGCTATCCCTTTTTTTATCCCCAAATAATAGGTGGATAAACCTCGAGAGTATGCATGAGGTGGCTGGAGAAAGAAATATAACAATAAAAGTAATGTTTACTGGCAAAAGAAAGAAAAGATACTATCAGAAGTAATAGATGCCTTGGTGCAATCCCAAAACAACTGGAGCATCATCTGAACACCAACGGCATTGACACATTCATGATCAGTCAATTGCAAAAAGCAGTTTTACTCAGAACAGCTTACACCCTTTAATATTATTGAATAATATCTGTCTATCTCATCTCTTTGGGACGGGCTCAATAGGTAGATAAAAATGTCAAATCCCGTCTAAATATCTGTCTGATTGTGCAAATAATCAATAAAGGTAAAGGTATGTTCCCGACATTAGGGGACGGTGCTCATCTCCGTTACAAAACCGAAGAGCCAGCGTTGTCCGAAGACGTCTCCGTGGTCCTGTGGCTGGCATGACTAAATGCCGAAAGTGCACGGAAGGCTGGTCCCTATTTTTCTACTTGCATTTTTACATGCTTTCGAATTGCTAGGTTGGCAGAAGCTGGGACAAGTCATGGGAGCTCACCCCGTTATGCGGTGCTAGGGATTCGAACCGCCGAACTGCCGACCTTTCTGATCGACAAGCTCAGCGTCTTTACCACTGAGCCACCGCGTCCCCTTATTTGGTGGATAAAAATGCCAAATCCAGCCTAACTATCTGGCCGACTGTGCAATGAATCGATAAGAAACATGAACACTGCACTATCTGGAGAAAGCCGAAAAGAAGAACTGGAGATAATCAACAAACGAAGACCTGCAAATAGAAGTAGAATGACTGTGGCAAAAAAAAACAAAGATAGGACCAGTATCTCAAAATATTTCAAGTACCACCTGAACATCACTGGCATTGACAAAATCCCCCTCAGTCAATTGCAAAAGTCAGTCTTGCTTGGAAAAGCTTATATCCTTCAATAATACCTTTAATACCCTTGCACACCCACATTTGCCTATTTCGGGTCCTTGGGAAGGCCCTATAAGTGGACAAAAATGCCAACGGGATTGGGCGGCATATAAATTTATTAAATTACTAATTACTAATAAATTGCAAATCCAGTCTAAACATCTAGCTGGCTGTGCCACAAGCCATAACAATACCTTTTATAAGAAGAGGCCTTTGAAGGATGGTGCTGGAGAAGACTCCTGCACTGAGTCCCTTGGACTGCAAGGCCATCCAACCGGTCAGTCCTAGAGGAGATCAA